CTAGTCTCCTCCCCGTGTGAGATGATTCCTAGCTACACTGAGGCCCTGTACACTGCTTTCAGTGAGAAACTGAACTTTACACCCCCAGGGCCAGTGCCGTATAAAAGGGCCTTTGTCATATCTGTCAGAATTCTGATTTACACAATCTCTTGGGCAAAACTGGAATTACATTAAACCCAACCAACTTAAGTTTAAGTATTTTGGGAGTCCAGGGATTGTACAGCACTTCTCTTGGAGGATGGCCTTGACTAATACAATTTCTGGACGATATTAGAAACTTCAGGAGATGTTTTGGGACAATACATGGGAAGTGGATTTCCCAGGAAATACTTGGAGGCTGAGGGAAATGCAAACGACCCACCTCTATCTATCCTTTAGAACAGTGATTCCCAAACTTTAACAACCTGTGAACCCCTTTCACTAAAATGTCAAGTCTTGCGAACCCCCTCCTAAAAATGAATATTTCTAGGAATTTTCTCCTTTACCTGAGTATAAATTATAAAAGCAGTGATCTTGGAAATATAAAATTTGTTTTTATGGCATGCTTATTACACACTATTTATTATTTATCATTACAGCATGTTTATTACATTATGAAAACAGCAACACTCTTCCAAGATCTCACTTTCATAGCTTGTATCACTTTGAATAAGCCTGTTATAAGACAAGGCTCCTATGTTTCATCAAGGAGCATCAGATGTGAAACAACAGGAAGGTACTGTATTTAAGAAGCCAACTCAAAGAGTTCCTCCTACACAAGCATTCAGGTCTTGAGCAGTCCAGGCAAACAACGCATGTTACAACAAAGCTTAAACTTGTTCTTCATAATAATTTTAAAAACAAACTGGATAAAGGAGTGACTCTCAGTGTTCTCTTCTGAACAGAGAGCGGGATGAACTTGACACCGCAGGGAAACCCCTGGGCGGGGCTGGGAAGGGCTGCTCCTACCAAAGCCTACATTGGAGGGGGTGATCTCTGGTAAGCTTATTAGCAGGCGTTTAGGTTTTTTAATTGTTTTTTCATATGTTTTCTCTGCAACACTTTTGCCTCAAAAATTAATAGGCTCATGTAGGAAGAACTGCAGTGCCTAATTAGCGCCAGGGCTTGCCAGGGCTGAGCCCCGGCATCTCCGGGCTTGCCTCATGAGTTATGAAAGTAAAAAAAAAAAATTGCTTGAGCCAACTTCCCCTTTGCCAGGTGGGTGTTCGACCTGCCCCCTGCCCTGGCCCCGGCCCACCCCTACATCACCCTCACCCCACCCCCTTCCCCAAAGTCCCCACCCCCATTCCACCCCCTTCCCCCAAGTCCCCACCCTGCCTTTTCTCCGCCTCCTCCCCGCTCCGCCCCCTCCCTCCCGGAAAGTCCAAAGCACCGCCAAACAGCTGTTAGGCAGCAGGAAGCACTGGGAGGTAGGCAGAGGAGTGGGGACACAGTGCACTCAGGGGAGGAGGCGGCGAGGAGAGCTTGGCTGCCAGTGGGTGCTAACCACCCGCTAGTTTTTCACCATGGATGCTCCAGCCCCAGAGCACCCACGGAGTCAGCGCCTATGAGCCCCGGCACCGCTTTCATTACAAATTAAGCACTGAAGAACCATGCGGTAACTTATAATTGTAGCAATTCCACTGTTATTAGTCTCTGAGGGGAAAGCCAGCAGGCCTGCTTGGGCAGACTAACCCAACACAGGGAAGGCAGGGAGCTGCAGCAGCCTGGAGAGACCCCAGCCAGCAAGGAGAGAGACCCATGTCTCCACCCTAGAGAGATGACAACCGGGGGAGCTGGAAGTCAGACCGGGTGCCCTTGCTGGGCCAGTGAGGTGCAGGTGCCCTGAACTGACACAAGAATCAGGCCCCTTGTCTTTAGTCGGAGTCACTCGTGGGCAAAATCCGGCCCCTACAAGGCAACAGCAGAGCCGGGTTATTCCTTTAACCACTGATTTTCCAGACACAGGATTCATTTGCTCCTGACATGCTGGAGCAGGGTTCAGGCTGTGCAAGACACCGGGGGGGTGTGCGCGCCAAATTCTGCTCTCGTTCACACACTGTAAACTTGGGTGCAACCCCTCTGACTGCTGCGGGCTGTATTCAAGGGCACACAGAGAGAGAGAGAAAGAGACCTGGATACAGAGCGTGGAAGTGAATTTTCCCCACAGCTGGCCCTGGACCTGTAGACACGGCCGAGTCCAATACTGAGGGTTATTGGGGGGAGATCTCCCAGCATTGCTCTAGCACCTGCAGCTTTGTCTAGACGAGGGGGAAAGGTTTAAAAAAGGCATGGGGGTAGCTCAGCCGATTTGAAACCCCACCCAGTGTGGATGTAGCTTACCACCTCCAGTGTCACATCAGCAGGTCGTGCTGTAGTGTAGCCCTTGTCTAGCCAAGGGGCTCTGTCTACACACAAGAGTTGTCCCAGTTTAACGATGTCAGTACAGGAAAGGGAATAAGTCACCCCAGTCTGAGGCACCCTCACACCAGTATAACTGCATCCACAACTGGGATTGTGCCAGAATGACAATCTGTAAAAATAAAAATCACATCCCCACTCCCGCACCGCCTCACAGCAGAGTTATACCAGGACGGATGCTGTGTAGATAGGGAAAAAACCCACTGTTTTCCCTATTGAGTTTAACCCCAACTGAAAATCCCATTTAGCACCAATGTAGACAGTCTAAAGCCTTCAGCTCAGTTTGAATAGGTCGAGTTACAGTCTCAGCTTTAACTCAACCAGTTCAGCATCTAGGGTCATGGGAGGGGTTGAGTGCAAGAGGAAGAGGGCAGCTCCAGGGAACGGGGGCTGACGGCACGGTAGCTTTTCAGAGGAGGGGACGGTTGGAATGCTTGTCACCGGAGCTGGGCCCAGCAAACACACCTATCCCCAACTTCAGTCACTCCCAATCCCAGGGTGCACTAGGCTAGGACAGGAGCCTCCTCCGGGTCTGTACTGAGGCCCAGCTCCGGAGGTCACGTAGGAGGCAGGATACGCCAAGAACCACTTGTCGGCTCTCAGGAGACTCCATTCTCTGCAAAGGTTGCTCTTTTAGCAGGGCAGCCCAATGGGCTTCTGGTTCCAGGCTCTCCCCAGCCCTTGCAGCAAAGCACATGCCTGTTTTCCCATCAAGACGCTTGGGCACTGTCCAATCTAATCTATCGCAGCCAGTACAGGATGTAGTTGCAGGAGGCCGGGGAAGGGGCAGTAACATCACCGGCTATTGTAAGCTTGCAAGTGACTTCCAAAGAGCCCAGTGCGGACGTGCGCACGCAACCACCCACCCACACGCAGGCTCTGCAAGTCCCCATCTCCTTACTGGCGTCCAAGAGGATGGCTTCCGATTTCTGAGTGGTCCCAACGTTGTTCTGAGCCTCGCAAAAATAATCCCCCGTGTCGAAGCTGGTTACGGGCTCATTCATCTGGAGTGGGAAAGAAGGCGTGAGGGAGGCATAGACAGAGGCGTAAACTCCCCACGAGTCAAGCAGCCCCCTGCCCCGTGCATACCAGCACTCCTGTCTTGGTGTCGATCGTGTAGCAGGAGTTCCTGAATTTCTCGTTGATCTTGGGGTTGGAGGTCATAAGGACGTCGTACCTGTAGCATTGGCAGGTAGGAGGTGGAGAGCCATCTGTTTCCATGCATGTCAGCACAGGCAAAGAGGCACATGTTACAGATGACCCTTGAACCCACCGCTGTGACCCCCTGCCCTAAACACACCCAAGATGCGGTCATCTGCATTTGTTAAGTTGCGTTTAGTCTAATCCAGTCAGTCATGGGTTAATAGAGGACCGGCTAAGTGACATGAAGGCAAACAAATGGCCAGCTCATTTTAAGTGAAGTAAGTGGTAAGCAGCATCCATGTCTAGCTTGATAGTCCGTTGACTCGTGAACTAGGTCAGTGGCTGGGCCCCCTTCCATTGGCAGGGCTTTCTTGGCGCTGCTCCAGGGCTGATCAGTGACGTTCCAGAGCTCAGGCCCGTGTAAAACTGTCATTCCCCGACAACGCACCTTTAATTGCGATGGGGAAGGAGTGAAAAGCGGTTCCTTCCTGACCCATGCAGAGATCCTGTGCTGCCCTGAAGCTTGATTATACTCATGTCAGCACAACTACAAATAGGAGTGGACTTTTCTTTAAAATCCAGCCACACTATTGTCTGGATCTCCTGGGACACATTCACAGAGAGCAGCAGTTCCTTGCGTGGGTTCTGCACCAGCTGCCCTTTAATTCAAGAGAGGATTAATGGCACTCACTGGGCTGGATCTTCCATTGCCCTGCTCCCTGGGCAGTCATTTACACCACAATAAAATGGGTGTGGAATGCAACTAAATCAGAGCAGCTCTCGGTATTCTGGTGCAAACGACTGTACGAAGAGCAGGGAGACAGAATCAGGTGCCCGGCGTTCAACATAAATGGCAAGTGCACGTGGGGAGAAGTGTCACTGACCAGAAATTAACACTTTGACTATGAGCCCTGCTGCTGGCAGTAGCCACCCTGCTGACAGGTGAAAGGTGCGATTCTGGCCGTGTGGGTGAAATCAGTGTCCCTCCCACTTTGATGGAGCAACTTGTCAAAACAAAATGTTTGACCAAAACTGCTGCGATCCTGAAGGAAGGAAACAGAGTTTGGTCCAACACTGGGCTCCCATTCGGTGACTGATTTTGCAGCGCTGGTGAAAGGTGCTAGACTGACAGCATTTGTGAGTGAGGCTCTGGGTACGGCCACAGAACAGGCACTGTAAAAGTAGTGCAATCTTCCCCCCCCCCCCCAAATCTTTTGCCAGGGACCTCAGCCCAGCCATGAAGGGACATTTCTGGGGTGAGGACAGTCTACTTTGGTCTCTGCAGACAATACACCCAAGGTTCAGATTGGTGCTGACAGTGAGTCTTCAAGGTGTGAAGAAGTGGACTGACAGCACATCTGTATGAAGGGGATCTCTGCTTAAATGCCATTCGCATGTAATGCAAGATAAGCATGGACTTGCCCACGTCAGCAGGGGGAACAGTTACAGTGTCAGACTTCCTGAGTGCGTGTTACAGAAATAATGGTGCCCCCGTGTAGCTAGGATTGTTTCTTCATTGCCACATAATGGGCTACACATTGACCCGTGCGAGGCAGTCCTCGAGAACCAGTTGTGTTTAACAGTTCTGAAGATGAGGAGCCAACAGAACTGGAGGCTTTTGAAACCATTGGATAATCTGGGCATTAGGCTTTCCCCAGGGCCCCCCTTCGAACCTGGCTAGCCTGACTGGATTACAGGATACTTGCCACTGCCCAAAGCAGCCTTATTCCATGGCTCTACTCCAGCAGGACTGACGCTGCTCTCAGGAAGGCCCTAAAGCTCCATTCATGCGCCGCTCTGGCCCTGCAGGTCCGTGGTCAGGGGACATGGGTGAGAATTTCAGAGAACCAGGTTTAGACGATTGAGGCTTCCCTACAGTCTAAGTCCAATGTGGAAAGAGTCTTGTTTCAGTGACCTCAGGCTAGTTTGCTATCCACTGATGATGCCGTGGTGTGCGGAGAGCAACACTGTTCAAAGAAGCCATTGGGCTCTTAGTAGGGAAAAATAATACCCTCCTTGCGGCAGGAGTCAGTGGGAGGTTCCCCGGTCTGTGCCACGCAGGTTAGAAGTTCATAGTGCTCCCTTCGAATCTTAAACTCTAGGAAAACACACTCC